TGAACTCCAGGTGGTGGGGACCTGGGCTGGTTGGAACATGACCTGCCAGATTGCTGAACTGAAGCAGATGCTGAGGAAGCAGTCCTGGCTGACTGGACAAGCCCTGGCTTCTGGATTCAAGACTGAAAAACTTGAACTCCCCTACAGAAATCTGAGGCTACAAAGTTTATACCATAGATAAATTGTATTACACTTGGTAATAGAATTACACCTAAAATAGTAAACACCAGGCAGCGGTTCCTAGGCATGTAATCTCTCTGAGGTAAAGTATTGTCTAAACCACCTAAAGTCTCCCAGTTGCCTATTTACCACAGAAGACTCAAAAGAAATATATCATACGTTTTCCCCTTCAATAAGTTTAAAATCTTATTAGAACATAAAACACCATAAATAAGTATGAGAAAGGAAATAAAAAGATGCTTATTTAAATCCAATAAAAAAACATGATTCAAACAGGAAGTGGGAAAGGGAATGTTAAGAGCACTGTTAACTGGACCTCTTTAGATGGTGCCACCTAACACAGTGTGTTCTGTTCACCTCCAAGGTTGGTTGAATCCCAAGACACAGCTCCTATGGATACAGCCAATAAAGGGGAACAAGGACACCCAGGCCTCTGTTATTGGAGGAGAAAGAACATGATGTACACAAAGGAAACAGGACCAAGACAACTGAATCAGCAGCAGGAGTGGTTTTCTAATGGGATCTATACCATCTAAAAGGGAAAGAACAGGTAAGGCTGGTGGTGTCCATGAAGGAAGAGATGCTATCAGGGGAAATGGTTTAGTAGATTTTGGTGTTTCAAATCTAAAGCTTGAGTTTTTGAAACTAAGGCCGTTCAACATTTCCAAGTTTACCACCCTCTGAAAACAGAGTAAATATGAGGCACCTCAGTAATTACTACACTCTGAGCTTAAGACAAAGGTTCTCCTTGCCCCACTCTGGCTGAACAAACTTATAAGACTTATACTAAAGCATTTATAAAAATATTTATTGTAAGTGGTGGCAAAATGAGGTTTTTCAAATCTTAGGGAGAATGATTCAACAGCATCTGGCTTTATTTTTAATGAGAGTGATGGGGACAGGAGATTTAAATGTTATGATTTAACAACGAGTTGGACTAGTTGTTGCTGAACAAAAGAACTACCTGACAAATCCAAACTTGTCTCAGACTTGTGTGAAGTATCTTATCCTTCACAAGAATCCTAAATTCTTGCTGCGCCTCTGCTGCCTGTGACATGACGTGGGTACTGTTGCTCACATACTAGTGATATGATACCCCAGAAGTAGTCTATCGCCTATTCTCTTAGACTACTAGTCTTTGAAAAACAAACTTTAAGACATATTTTTAAAGTTTTACTGAAAGAACTGCAGTGAACAGTCTAAACTAAAATCAATTCAACTAAAATCCTGTTATAAAATAAGTATCAGGTACTGGAGATAATTATTGGAAAAGAGCACAGAATGAATAATTTTCATTTAAGAAGTCACTACTTTCAATCTTTATGGAGGAAGATAGAGCTATCACTGTAACGTCCTACTTTAAAGAGTCACAAAAACGAGTAAGACACGATATAAGTGTTTTAATGGTGTTTATGATTTTACATAAGGTGAAGCTTAACATTAATTAGTTCTTCAATGTGTGATTTCTGTCTCTTTACAAGGTTAGTCGAAGAAATAAAAGTTTTGTCATTTTTGGAAAAGGCCATAGTTTAAGATTCAGATGCCTTTTCTATTATTTTTGATAAGTTGTTAAAATTCATTTTCATTTGTTAGGCTTTCACTGATGCAATTTATTGAGTGCTTTGACAGAATATGCTGTAAAAGGGAAATTCCAGAAGAATGTGACTTCCTATATTAGAAAAGAGGAAGAGAGATCTATTGTGAATTGGTCTGGAATAATATTAAAGATAATATTATTATAATAGAATAATATTAAAGATAAAACTGCTCATTTTTGTTCTCATTATTTAAAATAAAACACCATAATTACTTTTCTAATTTCCAAAGAAACTCCTGCACTAATTCCATCACTGCCAACTTGCATATGAGATGAAGTTAAACTGAAGTTAATATGAAACAGGCATGTATGTTATCCAAGCAATGTCCATTTTTCCAATGCCTTTATCGTTTTTCTCAATTATAGAGCATACTACATTCTCACTCAATGATAAACATAAGTTAAAAGGTGTTAGCATATAATGAAATGATGTAATGATAACAGCTAATATTTACTGAGCACTTACTATTTAGCACTGAGCTAAACATAAATTATCTACAAAAATTAACTGAACCCTCATGACAGACAACCCTGTGGGGTATTACTAGGTATTTTCATTTTACATAGGTAAGAAAATTGAGGCTTAGCAAAATTAAGTGGGCACACAGCTATTAAGTGGTAAAATCAGAGGATAGAATGATGTATTTGAGGGTAACGATAATTAGGGACAAGACTGATTTATTTTCAAAGCTAGAAATATGTTCTTGATTGGATACTGTGGAAAGGACTGGTCTTATCCCATAGCAGAGCATTACCAGAAGACTTTACAATAATAGTAACCATATCTTTCAGTCGTTGAGTATGTAATTGTTACATATGCTTTATACCTTTAAAGCGAGTAGATAAACACAAAATAAGAACCAAAAGTCAAATGAATTATGGAGGTAAGGAACTAGTATTATGTGAAAAGATATTAGTTTTATGAAAATATGAAAAAAATTCAATGATTCCCAAGGGAGGTACCATTGGCACTTGTGTGTGTGTGTATACATGTGTACGTGTACATGCATGCATGTGCAGAGGACAATTTATTCTTTGTTGTATAATGTAGTCCCTCCCATGTGTTATAACACACTTAGCATTCTTAACCCCTACCTACTAAATGCCAGAAGTTCTCCCAAAGCTTGTGACTACTAAATAAATCCCTGCACATATTCTGCTGACTTGGACTGAGAACCATTGATTGTTGGATAAAGATACTGGGAGAGAACTTACTGATATTAATTATACATCATGTACAAGTACTCTGCTAAGTGCATTCACACATATTTATTTAATCTTCATAACCCCATATGAGGTATGTACATATTTTATCCCCATTTAACAGGTGTGGATCCTGAGGCTTAGAGAAGAATTAAGTAACTTAACCGAGAACACACAGATAGTTTTGAAACCAATCACCTGGCTCCAAAACCGCATTTCTCTGGGTTGGTCTTTTAGCCATAATGGTGTGGTAGGCATGCCTTTTCTTTCTTTAAAGAGGTTCATTTAGAAAATATAAATCCTTGTGAATAGGACCTATGGCATGTGTGCCATTATGAACCAGGGATGAATTAGCTCCCTGGGGGTTTGAAGGGGCCATATGTTTGGTGAGGAAGAGTTACAAGATGTGGGTGTCAAGAGTGGGCTGGGTAACTCCTGTGCACAGGTGTCTATTAGAAGTGTTCTGAGGTGTGTGTGTGTGTGTGTGTTTTTCCAGGGGAATAAGAGAATTGTGCTATATTTGTGAGGTTTGTGTTTTAATACTCCACAGCGTTTACTATGCACCAGGCATCATTACAATTGCTTCACTATATCTCATTTCAGCAAGTATTTTAGGTGATTAATGGAGCAGAGTATGCACTATGTTGTGCGGTGGACTGATGTCTGTGTAGCAACGTCTACAAGAGGTGATGGGTACTGGTTGTGCTAGAAGGGGAAAGGTCCACCATGATATGTGTGTCTACAGGAGCAGTTTGTGCTGTGGTACAGACAGTGGTGTTTGAGGCCTGGGGAAGGGTTATGGTAGATGATTTGTGTGAAATGCATACGGGAGGTGTTGCATGGGATAGACTGTAGTACACCTCACTTGTGCATTTTTTGCACGGCGGGTAGTGCTGAATACTGGAGGAATTCCATGGGAACGGGTCTGGGTCATGTCCTGGGTATGGTGCAAGGAGAAGCTGTGGACTCGGGGTGTTTTCAGTGTATAGTGAGTGGTATGTGCTGAAACTGGTGCATACGAGATGAATCATGCGGTGTGCTGGGTAGAAACGGGGACTGGAGAGGGGGCCGGTGTCGTGATGTGTGTGGGGAGCGATGCAGAGTGCGGTAGGAGAGCGGGGAATGGTGCTAGATGCCCCACGAGTGTTCATGATTTGGCCCAAGGCGCTGTATGGGGAGAGGTGGTATAAAAAGAGGGGAAGTGGAGGCTGGAGGATAGGGGCAAACGACGGGTCAAAGGAGCTGCAGGGGAGGAAGATGGATGTGCTGCAAGACACTGGGTCGGTGTAAGAGCTGCGTGGGCGGCCTGTCTGCGAGTGTGTGCGAGGAGCAGCCAGCCCATTTCCTCACCTGGAGCCACACAGGGCCACGCTCCCCGCCATTGCCTCCCGCCCGCCCCTTCCCTACTCCCAAGGGCGCGTCTTCCGCGCGGCCAATCCCGCCTCACCTGGTGAAAGCAAAGTACATGAGGCTGACGATGGTGAAGCTGAGCAGGGTGATGGTGTGCGGCCGGTAGAAAAAGTCGATGGTGATGTCCTCCACTTGCTGCTCGTTGATCATCCGGAAATGCATCTTGTAGTTCACATCATCTTTGCTCAGGGTCCGGCTCCCCACGCAGGACGCCATGGCCCGCCTCCCCGTCCTGCCGCGGCGGCGGCCCCAGCCCGTGGAGGCTGGGACCCCGGAGATGATGAGCTGCAGCGGGCGGGGAGCCGAACGGCGAGGCCGAGTCTAGCGCGGAGCACAGGATGAGAGCCGAGGAAAGGACAGGCGCGGGAGGGCGGGGTCGCGTCGCCGCCAACGCGGCTTCGGGCAGGGGGGCGCTGCCGGCCCTGGCTCAGCCGGCGTTCTGGGGGAGGCATCTCTATGGACTTCTGATGTCTTTAGATCCCCAGTGGATGAAGCCTAAGGGTAGTGGCGAGCGGGAGAAGGGAAGCTGCGGTCCCTGGACGGCTCTTTCCCCAGAGCGCTGCCCGCTCTCCCCCCACGCGGTCTCTCAGATGGTCTCGCCCACTCGGGCCGCAGCCCACGTGGGCGGGGCAGCGCCGCGGCGCCCGCAGGGCTGGCGAACATGCCGGAGTTCGGCGTAGCGGGACGGTACGTGTAGGTGGGCCAGCCTGGCGCCCATCGCGAAGGAAACCACAAGACCTACGCCTCTCCACAGGTAAAACGAGGGCTGCTGGAGCGCGGGGGGCGCTGTCCTGGCAGGGGTTAGGGTACCGACCCACCCTCGTCCAGCCCGCGTCCCAGGGCCTTTCACGGCCTTTAGGTCTTCGCGGCCCAATCGAGGGAGTTTTGTTTATACCCCTGGCTGATGAGACGAACGCCTGGCCTACTAGCGCGCTTTGCGGGGGACGCGGAAACTCAGTGTCTGGTGGCTTCCTGCGGAAGTTCGGAGTGGAGAACTACAAGGGACTTGTGAAAATGGCTTTGAGAGGGCGTCGAGCAGTAGATGAGAGGCCCCTTATTACTTAGGAAGCCATCTTTCCAGACACCCTACATCTCCTGGTTTCATTTATTAGCCTTACAGAAGTTGAAATATTGAGCCCTCGATAGACAATATTTCAGTGCCAATTCCTCTTCCTAGCGAAGTACAGAGGCACACAGTTGAGAACTAGTATGTGATATTTAAATGTACTAAAGAATTTTAACGGCTAAAGGCTTTTTTCCTCTTTAATATTCCTGATGAGTCATGTTAGAAGACATCATTAAGTTGAACTTTTGTACACATATGCAAACGACTTACTCGCTGTGTTGGTAAATAAGTTAACCGTAGTTGCAATTAATTGATTGATTTCCATCCGACAAACATTGGAGCAGTGCAAGGCCAATGGGGAACAATCACTGGGAGGGTGAATCCAGAGATGAGACCCAGCCATGCTATCGTGAACGAACAGTTAATTATTAAGAGGTATACACAGCAATGAAGTGATGTAAAGAGGATAGTGAGCTTGTAAATAAAAATAGAAGGATAACCATTAGTTATATACATAAAAGTATTTTAATAAATATAGATAGAATTCAAAAGTTAATCTGCTTTATGTGGGAAGAATTTTAATTTGAACCTGGAAAGGCTTCAGAATGAATTTGGGATTTCAGTATTTGGCTTTGAAATATGACGGAATTCTTAGAAGTCAAAACATTTTACAGCTAATAGGGACCTTAAGAATCATCTTATTGCACCTATAACCTTTAAAATAATCTGTTATTTAAAGAATGGTTATTGAACACCCCATTCATGGGCCAAACATTGTGTTAGACTACCACAAGAAACTTAGTCTCCTCAGCGTAGCATAATTGAGGGCTTCTGGCTTCCAATTTAGTGCCTTATGACTGTATTGTGCAGAGAATGAATGTCGTAGGTTTGACGGAAAACTTGACAAGTTTGGACGCTCATTTCCTACCAAAATTTAACAAAAATCACCTGTCTCACAGGCGATCTTGAGTATTTCCTTTCTAAAGTCATTTCAGAATGAGAGTACAACTTTCACTTTTTGAAAATGTCCTTTCAGAAGACTTCTCTAAGTCTGTGTATTTTTTGTTTTCCATTCATGATTGGGAATCTGCGTTATGTGGAAGGCAAACTTAAGCTATACCCAGAGTTTCCACTGTGGGTGGTGATCAGTGCCCTTAACTCCCAATTCTCAAGTTGTTCAAGGGTCAGAAGGTTACACTCAAGTATTTGGTCTAATTCAGAGCATAAAACAAGCTGAATTCCAGTATAAAGAAAAACAAAGCAAAATGTTGTATGCAATTTATTTATCCTTGGTTGTGTAATCAATGGTAATAATAGCTAACATTCATGGAGCATTTTCCATATGCTGGACTCTGGGCTGTGTTTTCTATGTATTATCTTATTTAAAGTGAAATTATGTACATCAGATTCCTCTTTCTAATTAATCTGGCTAAATATAAAATTCCTTCATATTTCTAAGTTTAAAGTAGTGACAGCCTTATTTGATTAAAATCTTAAAAGCATGCTTTTCCATCAAAAAAATACATGTATTCGTTGCTGGTTGCTTATATACTTATCTCACTTCATTTTGCTTCTGTGACTTTTTTTTATTGAAAGCTTTTCTTTTTCTTTTTTCCTAAAAATAGAATTTTACAAAACTGGTTTTATTCAATTCCCTTTTGAGTAACAGCTTTATCTGTGATATAACATTGTTTAGCCCTAGGATGAAGTAAGAAACAACCTTCTAGATAGCAGTGATAATATTTTGATGATTCATTTAAGACAAAGTAGATTTCTTCCTGTTTTTTATTTTGTGACTAATGTACAGATGACCCTTCAACAACATGGATTTGAACTGTGTGGGTCCACTTATATGTGGATTATTTTCAATAAATATATTGGAAAAAAATTTTGGAGATTTGCAACAATTTGAAGAAATTCACAAGTGAACCACATAGCCTAATAATATCAAAAACGTTAAGAAAAAGTTAGCCATGTCATGAATGCATAAAATATATGTAGATACTAGTTTATCATTTACTACTATAAACTATATACAAATCTATTATAAAAAGTTAAAATTTATCAAAACTTGTGCACACAAATACTTAAATACCAGACCGTGCATGGTGCCATTCACAGTCGCACTCAAGAGAAATGTGAACAAATGTAAAGATTGGTATTAAATCATAACTACATGAAATTTACTGTAGTACATACTGCACTACTGTAATAATTTCTTAGCCACTTTCTGTTGCTGTTGCAGTGAGCTCATGTTTCGAGTATCCACTTAAATGCTGTGTGATGGTAATCATCTCTATGTGAGCAGTTTGTCTCTCCAATTAATTGGGTGTCAGTAAAAAGTAATCTATTGCAGCTGTCGTGTATTTTTCATTGAGTTTAATGCAGTAGCATAAATCTCGAATAATACCATGAGATCTATACAAAGTGCCACTAGTGATGCTGAAAGTGCTCCTAAGAAGCAGAGGAAAGTCATGACATTACAAGAAAAAGCTGAATTGCTTTGAGGTCTGTATCTCTGGTTGCTTGGCATTGCAAGATAAATGAATCCAGCATAAGAACCTTTGCAAAAAAAGAAAAGGAAATTCTTGAAACCATCACTGCTACTACACCAGCAAGTGTGAAAACCTCGCACTTTTTGTGAATTACCCTTTTATCTGGTTTTGAAAATGCAGTTTTTATGTGGGTGCAGGATTGCTATAAGAAAAGCATACCTATAGACTCTAAAACGAATCGAGAAAAAGCAAAGTTGTTACAGACAACTTAAAGCAAAAGGAAGGTGAAGGATCTAAAGCTGGAGAATTTAATGCCAACAAAAGATGGTTTTATAATTTTAGAAAAAGTGTTGTCTTAAAAATGTCAAGGTAACAGGAGAAGCAGCTTTTGCTGACCAAGAGGCAGCAGACAAGTTCCCAGACATCATTAAGAAAATAATTGAGGTGAAAGGATATCTGCCTAAATAGGTTTTTAATGCAGGTGAAATTGCCCTATTCTGGAAAAAAAAAAAAATGCCACAAAGGACATTTATTAGTAAGGAAGAAAAGGGGAGTGAAGGGTTTTAAAATATGGATTTTGGAGAAATCCAAGAGTTAATAGATATCACACCAGTGGAATTAACAGAAGACAACTTGATGGAGATGAATGCTTCCGAACCAGTGCCAGGTGATGTAGAAGAAGCAGTGCCAGAAAACAAACAAGGGTTCTGATTATCCAAGACTGCTTTTGACTTCTTTTATGACACAGACCCTTCTATGATACCAGCACTGAAACTAAAGCAATCAGTGGAAGAAGGATTGGTACCCTATAGAAACATTTTTAGAAATGAAAAATCAAAAAAGTTGGAAATTACAATGTATATCCATACAGTTACACCGAGTGTGCCTGTTTCTCTGTCCTTTCCTTCCATCTCCTCCACCCCTAGGACAGCGAGACCAACCCCTCTTCCTTCTCAGCCTACTCAGCATGAAGATGACAAGAATGAAGACCCTTATGATGATCCACTTCCACTTAATGAATAGGAAATCTTCATGATGTACAGTTAATAAACTTATCTGTTTATATGTGAGTGTCTTCCTGTGAAACTCTAATAACTTCGGCAAGTACTATATGAGACATTTTTGTTTTACCATCGTCAACTAAGTATTCATTATATAGAGTGCAAGACTTGTATGGAAGTGGAAAACCCATCCTTACATAGCCATATAGCGAGTGATATTTAATACAAAATAATGTGCTAGTTTTCCTACTGTTTTATAACTTTGCTTTCAAAGAATTATATTACCATACAATATGCCCCCTTTACACTCTCTCTCTCATAATTGAAGAAACTGCCTATCAGCCTATTATCACAGGTAAATGGTTATTTTTTAAAATGTAACAATGTTTCCAACACTGTATTATGAATATGGCTACTGTATGCCATAAGAATTTTATGAAGATGCATGGATTAGTGTATACGCTAGGCCACTGTGAAACAATTGTATCGATTACACTAGGCTACCATAAAGCCATTATATTGATGCTTCTTAAGTACCAATGCATGACTCATCATACCTCTTAATAAATATGAATTTCTTTTAACGTTATTTTTTAATTTTTGATGTCTAGTATTAGTAATATGTATGACATCAGTGTTTTGTATCATATAAGACAATATTGATATAGATACTGACAAACATGATTCATCTTGTGAACAGATGACAAACTTATGGTATTGATAAATACAGTACAATACTGTAAATGTATTTTCTTATGACTTAATATTTTCTCTAGCTTTATTGTAAGAATGCAGTATATAATACATATAAGTACTAAATATTTGTTTATCAGCTGCGTTGTCGATAAGGTTTCTGGTCAACAGTAGTTAAGTTTTAGGGGAGTCAAAAGTTAAATGAGGATTTTCAAGTATGGGGACACAGCACCCTTTACCCCTCTGCTGTTCAAGGGTCAACTGTATATACATAAAATACATTTGAATAACTCAGTGTTGTTTTGATCAGCAATCTGTTTCTTAAACGTCCTTCAGACCAAATTCTAAGAATGCTTAATTGCATCACTTTCTCTTCTTTAAAGTGTTAAATTAACAGATTATTGAGTTCAGCTATGATTTGAACATTTACAAATTTTTGTTTTAAATGTTTTTCGTACACCAATGATTTTGCTTTGTTTTTAAACCATAAAGCATATATTTATTTTTCCAGTTCAGAAGTTCCTGTCTTTTGATTGGTAATTGAGAGTGTCTTGTTTTTTAGCTTTCCTTGTACTTAAACATGTGACTACTTTAATCATCTAAATCTATTAAATACCTTTTAATTAGAAAAAGTTTCCAGTTTATCCTTTTATTGTTTGAATATTGTTTTAAACATTTAAGAAAATAAGTTTCTCTTTTAATGGTTATATATTTCCTTTGTAGGCTACTTTAAGAAAAATGGCTCTGTCAGCCCATTGGATACCCAGGTGGTTCAATTCAATTAAATTGAATGGCTTCATTAGTGCTATACAACTCAGAAATCATTTTCAGAGACCAGGAAAAACATGGTTGCATGAATATTCTGCTCAGCCTCAGCTGTCCTCTGACAATTGCTTCTTCCAGTGGGGATTTAAGACTTACAGGACTTCCTCCGTGTGGAATAACGGTTCCCAGTATACTAACTCAAGTAGACAAGGGATTAATTCTCCCCAAAGCACTATGCTTCCTTCACAGTCACAGGAGACAGAGCTGTCCCTGGAAGGTAATTCTTAACTTTCAGAAAGTCCCCTTTGCCCCACTTTGGTAATTTGAATAAGCTACCTGTTTACATTATTAGCCCATTTTAAGTCATATCTTATACCAGGCAAGAAAAGTAACAATGCCAGTTCTATTTATTTGCTTCTATTATACCTTTATTTGACTAAGAAAAAAAAGTTTGTCTTTTTATATGTATAAGATGATTTTCTAGCTGTATGTACATTTGCTTTCTAAATACTTTACTATTTAGATTAAAATTTTTTGCTGATGAGAATTAGGTTTACTAGGGTATGATTTATATCAAAAATTCATCCTTTTTGGGTATATAGTTATATGAATTTTGACATGCATTTAGCGGTGTAACGACCACATCAATCAACAAATAAAACAGCTATGTCATGCCAGAAAGCTCCCTCATGTCACTTTTTAGTCCTCTCCCACCCGTGCTTCCTATTCTAGGAATATTTTCATGCAAGGAATATTTCATTGCAAATGAGATAATATTAGGTTAAGTAGAATATGAAAGAAAGCTGGGAGGGTATGGGGGGCTAGGAGGAGAGGCTGGCTGTAAGAAATGAGAAAATGTAATGATTAGAGATAAAAAAATAGAACAAAAAATTACATTTCTGATTTATTAGCTTAAAGTGGGTTACAGTTTCCAGTATCTTCCATACTGTTTAAGACAAAACAAAACCTCAGAATCATGGCTGTACTTGAGTCATTTAGCAGAGGGTCACTTAGCAAAGGACTACAGGTGGTAGAAACAGTCATAGAAGTTCCCCTTAAGACCTATTTGAGAATAACTTGGAGGAGAGGGGATTGGATCAAAATGAAGACATTTCATGATGTGATGACTTTAACCCATACAATTCAGGCTGGTAGAATATGTTGTAATTTTGACCAAGTAAAGCTATGATAGACTCCATCTCTTTCTCAAAATGTACTTGAAGTTCAGTTGATCTTTAGCATTCTTAACTGTTGATTAAAAGTGAAGGAAAGGGAAAGGGATTTTGTACAGGACTCCTTATGGAATAGAAATTTACCAAGAAATTTCTTATCTTTGAGGAAGAGTAGTTGATCTTTCTAAATAGTCTTAACCTTTCCTCTTGGTGGAAGATATTCAGACTTCTTAGATGTTTAATCCCAAAACGATCCCAAAATTTAAAAAGAAGCAAACCAGAGAAGAGGTTGTCTTTGTAGAAATAGCTCTAAGTATGCAGATTGGAGAGTTAACTTTCTTCTCTCTTTCCACATGGCTGGCTTCAAAGGACTAGACCAGCTGCCTCCACTTTCTCCACTGCAGCCAATTTCCGAGGAGGAGGCTATTCAGATTCTTGCAGACCCTCCATTGCCCCCCTTTACATTCACACTTCGAGACTACGTGGATCATTCTGAGACTCTGCGGAAGTTAGTGTTCCTAGGTAAGTCTGAATAACCTACAGGTACTTTTTGAGTGTACTCTTTGTTTCTCTTTTTGTTTAAATGAGCATTTTTAATCTGTCAAAGTACATAAGCATGAACAGAAGTCAAATAGTGTGAAAAGGCTTCTAGTGAAAAACTACTTCTTGCTTCATCCTTCCTGGCTCTGCATCCCATTCCTTAGAAGCATCTACTTTTATAGCTCTTTCTGTTTGTATTTAACCTCTAAATGTTTTTGTAGTTACTTGTAGTGCAGTTGCTTGGTTCATTAGTTTTAGACATCAGTTGATCTCTTGTATATGCACATATACTTTTCCCTTAGTCTCTTCGATTTTCACAGTATATTATATTAAATCATTTGTCAGTGATGGCATTATGACTATAAATATAGCTCTCTGCTCTGCAGAAAGTATACTATGGTTGTCTTCCTTCCTATACAACTTCTCATTTTTCCATAGTTAATAATTGTCTTTTCATTTGACTAGTTTTCTTTGTTCCTAATGCCACATTTTCCCACACCTTCCAGTAGTCTCTCAGGACAGTTTTTTCTACAGTTAACCCTATCAGAGGATGTATTTGCTCCATTTCCCCTCTACCCCTAATCTTCTTCCTGGAGCCTACTGTCCTCCTGATTTGGATGGGTTCTCTGTAGGCTTGCTCTATAAGTATCTTAGCTTGTTGACATAGGATGTGCTTGAATCTGGATTGTTAAGGGCTATCAAGGCATCTCACTGCAAACTTTTACTTCGTCCTCGTATTTTCAGTCTAGCACCTTACTGCAGTCTTCTGCTTCTTCCATTGTCTGACGCTTTTCTTACTTGATTTTCCCAGATGATGAACCTCCTTTCTCCTGCAGGATTGAGAGGACAGGATAGGGAAGGGATTTTCTCTCAAACCCATTTATGTTTCTCTCATTCTCTAGTCACTACCTTAGTTAGGTCCTCATTTTTCACTGAAAATTTAGGAGCTTCCTAACTTGATAGTCTGCTTATCAGTAATATTGCCTTGATAACCTCTCTAACATTTGTGCTCTTTGTAAAATGCAAATCCGACTATGTCAGTGACCTACTTGAAATCCTTCAAAGCCTTTCATAGCATCAGTTCTTTCTAGTCCTTCACTTACCTTTTTTTAGCTTTACTGCTTGCCAATTTCTTCATTTGGTTGGCTAGCTCAGACAGCTAGAGAACTTCATTTAAGTTCAGGTAACTTCTAATATGTCTTTTCTGACCTTCCAAGTAGAGTGACTCTCCTCTGGGCTCATCCCCGCTTGCTTCAGTCCTATCAAAAATAACAACATAATTGTTGACTCATCTGTCCTTGTGCAAGTTACCCAAATTTGTAGGGAATGGCCTTTGTTCTCAAGCAGCTTCAAGTTTTTACAAACATCTAAATACACATATATAAGAAAAACTAGAATGCAAGGATGAAAGGTGAAGTGATAAGTCCCATATGAGAGATAAAAATAAGTGTTCTGTGGGGTCAAAGGAGAGAAAAAGGTGACCTTGCTACAAGCAAGAGAGCCAGTCTCCTTTTGGAACAGCTTTCCTAACCTTGCGATAGGTGCTGTGGGGAATACACGATAAACATGGCACGGTCCTACCTTTAAATAATTTACAATATACTTAGAGCTTTAGAATGTGTGCCAGCCATTTCTTCATCTGTATGCCGATATTGTGACAGCACACTGTAGAGGAAGCATGATTGCATTGTCAGGCAGTATTTTTGAGGATCTTGGTAACCTGGTTCTTCTCTGTTTGCTTCCCAGATCTGTTTTCTGCCTTTCTCTGCCTGTTCTACTTCCCAAGAGGCTAACTTCTATGTACTAGGAGAGAGGCACCTGCAGGAGGTGGGGGAGGGCAGGTGGGAGTACTTTTTCCCTGTTCCTTCCCTGCTTTGGGTCATGTAACTGCCTCACTCCATGACAACAGCTCCTACTAAACAGCCCTTAATCGCTTCTAGCTCCCTCTGGGTTTGAGTAATACTTTTTCTCCCTGTCTCTGTAGGGGTACTCTTGTTCTCTTAATTCTGCTCACACTACTGTATAGAGTCCCTTCATTAAAGTTCTTTTCATTTGAACATTAGAGCACTATCTGTTGTTATCTGCTAGACCCTGATTGATACAGTAAATATGTGTAACCCTAAATGAATATAGCAGTAATGTGTACAGTTACTGAACTGATGGGATAAAGCCAACTTAGACTGGTCACTTAGAAGGTAGAATCATGTAGTATTCATTTTTTATATCCCCCGAGCCTACCACAGTGCTTGGTCCATTGTAGGCATTCACTGACTATTTTTTCAAGTTAATGAAATTGTGAGTAAGTCCAAGTGATTTGTGCTGACAGCAGTGTGCCCTCCTGATGAGATTCTGCTCTCCTGTTGCTGTTAAAAGGCAGCTTTTCAGGATTTCTGTTTCAGCACAGTCAGGGTGTGACAGCTCATGCTGAGTATGGCACTTTAGCACATGCAAGCTGTAATATTTAGTTAAATTTGAAGTCTGAACCCTTTATGTTATTTTTAAAGCATCCTTCCCCTACTTATCACAGATTTTGAAACTTTTCTAATTTATTTTTCCATCTATTCATAATTTATTTTTCTTTTCATATTTTGTTTAAATTATAAAAGAATTACATCTAGTTGTTAAAAGTGCAAATATTACAAAAGAAAGAACTCTTACCCTCTCTACATCTGCAGTTCCACTTTCCAAAGGTAACCACCATTACCAATTTGTTAAGTAGCTTTCAGACCTTTTTCTATGCAAATATACATCATACAGAAAGCTATACTTAGTTTTCATACTTTTATGTAGTCAAAGTTAATGTTATTTTTTAAATTTTGTGTTTTCTAGTAGTTTTAGAGTTAGTACACATTTAGTAGATTCATACCTATCTGAAATTATTTTCATATCAGATACAGAGAGAATTCTTAATTTTTTCAGGTGTCTAGCTAGTAGCCCCACTATTTTTGATGAATAGTTCTTCCCCCCCACCCTTGAATTGAAATGCCATTATTATTCTATGCCAGATTTTTTGTTTATCCTAAAACTGTTTCTAGTCTATCTGTGTGTGTGTGTGTGTGTGTGTGTGTAATCTGTTTTTCTATTTGTGACCATCTTATATTAATACTTGCTTATAAGCAAGAAATTTGAGTTTAGAATTATGTTTGGAGCTAATATCTAATTGTAATTTATTTTTCTAGTTGTGGACACCATTAAAGAATGTTTTTATTTCATTGCTTTTATATTTAAGACTGTAAAGTTGCATCTAGAAATCAGTTTGAGAGTTATTTTTAATCTGAAGAAATATTTTAAAGAATATGAAATTTAGTCTAAAATTAAGGTTTACATTGTCTTCAACTGTTTACTCTAAAGAAGGAATAGGCCTTTCCTGTTCATGTTTAGTTTTCTAAAAATCAGTAAAAGGCAAAAATGAGAGAATAAAGTCCTCAGTTTTAATGAGAATTTTGAATTACAGGTTACTTTGATTCTCTGCCTAATTAATGCTGACATCTAATTATGTCCATAACCAAAGAATGATTTAAAATAACAACTTGGTTTCCCCCCCTTCTTATTCCTTCTCTCTTGTCCCTTGTCTCGTTTACTTAGATTACCTAAGATTATAAGAATATTTGAAGGGTAAAAATTGTATGCTTTCTGCTTTGTGGTGTACTTGAGGACTGCATGTGTTCACCAGTTCTCACATACATTTCTTGAGCTCCTTCAAGGTACTTGTCTCTGTGCTAAAGACCTGGAGATTACAATGAGTAAGACACAGGGTCATTTTTATTCCCCCAATGGAAGGGATCATAAGCATATTTTAAAACAATTATTATGATCATGAAAGAATCCTTATGATCACTAAGGAAATGATTTTTAAAACTTCAAAGAAACTGTTTATTCTTATGGTTTGTTACCCTACAGGATTACCAGTTAAGTAATTACCATGGAGCCCATTAGGGGCTCATGTGCATCCTTCAAACAGTATTCAGGAAGCCATAGACGAAGACGATGATCCTAGGTTTAGTGACTTAGCAAGTTTATTTTGGGTAGAAATTTAGCCCCAACTGTGCCATTTTCCTCTATATATGGCTTTGAAATAAATACTGTATTTTCATTTTAATTTATTTTTATTTCTACAACCAATTTAATTTAAAAATATTTAGAAGTGTCTATTGGCCTGTCTCAGTTCTCCTACAGATAGGTTGCTTATCTCCATCACTAATTTCTTACACTTCTATGTATGAAGTTTAATGACTGAGTTAAGCAGTTATTTTCAAACGGTGTTTGTAATTTATTATAGGAGTGGACTTGTCTAAGATAGAAAAACATCCAGATGCAGCCAACCTCCTTCTGAGACTGGATTTTGAAAAAGACATTAAGCAAATACTCCTGTTTCTTAAAGATTTGGGTATAGAAGATAACCAACTGGGAACATTCCTGACTAAAAATTACGCTATTTTCTCTGAAGACCTTGAAAATCTTAAAACCAGGTAGAGTTTTTTTTTTAATTCAACAGCCCATTTTTATATGAAAAGGAAAACTTCTTGCTGAGTCGGTACTTTGTTTCTCTTCAGAAACAAGTAAGTTTTTTTTAATCCATTAACAAATGGCTGGATTATCTGGGGGTACACTAAAAGTTATGAAAGACTGAACTTTTGTGTTTTTTATTGGCCAGTTTTTGATGGTAGACAGTTGACATTCTCTTGGCAGATTATTGTAAAATTTGCTTAATCATTTCCATAAGTTAGCTATTTTAGTTGTTCCTTTTTTTCTTTAATTAGCACTTCTGTAAACACTTTTATGCTTCATTCGACATTCCAAGAATTTATTGAATCTGTGATATCAGTACAGTGGGATAGTATTGACCTGTGTGATAA